GGAAATCAGGACATCATCATCCCTCCTCTCCTTTAGGAGGAGGTTGAAGACGTGGCTTTGGGACCAGGCCTTCGGGCAATCTGGCAATTAAATCAGATGAACAAGACCAGCAGGATTGAAGAAGTGGAATGGAGAATGAGATATATGAGTTAATGAACGCTGACCAGGTGGGGGGATGATTTGGGTTTGTATGGGGCTTTTATTGATTTTATTGATTTTATTGGTATTATGTATGAATTGTTGTTACTTATGAATTGTATGAATTTTTGTATTGATTGTTTTGTGACGCGGGCATCAAATGGTGCCTTGCTTTTGTAAGCCGCCCTGAGTCCCCCCCGGGGTGAGAAGGGCGGGGTATAAGAACCTGTAATAAATAAATAAATAATAAATCCTTGAAGTGACTGGACTGACCTTGAAGGAGCTGGGGATAGTGACAGCTGACAGGGAGCTCTGGCGTGGGCTGGTCCATGAGGTCACGAAGAGTCGGAGACGACTGAACGAATGAACAACAAAATGTTCAGAAGCTTCTTTCTACTGAATATAAACAGATTTGTTCGTGGGTCCTTACTAGGCAACAACTGAATGTACAAAAATTGTAGCAGACAAACCAACTTTGACATAATGTTATTCGATCCATGATTACATTCATCTTCACAGCCAGAGAAAGAAGAACTCCGTAGCTGATGTCGAGCAAGCAATAAGTCAAACTTATTGGTACATATCTCAAATTTCCTCCTGTGATGGGCTCGAAAGACTTCCATGAAAGAGGAAAGGGCACTGCCAAACTCTACAGCAACATCATAAATATTTATCCAGGGGATGAGTTGCACAACTCCTGTTGTGCATGCCATCAGTACTACTCTTCTTTTCCCAACTTGCTCCTCCAACCCATTTCTACTTTCTGCCAGAGTAACCATAGTGCTATTTTGACCCCTTAAAATCAATATTGATAGCCCCACAACACAGCTCTGTGCGAAAGGAGTACTGTTGCTACTTGGTCCTTGTACAGATTGCTCAGGAGAGAGACAAGGTGGCTTGGTATGCCCATCCCATCAAGAACTTGCCACAATTTATTATGATCCACACAGTCAAAGGCTTTAGAATAGTCAATGAAGCGGAAATAGATGTTTTTGTGAAACTCCCTGCCTTTCTCCATTATCCAGCGGATATTGGCAATCTGGTCTCTCGTTCCTCTGCCTTTTCTAAACCCAGCTTGAACATCTGGCAACTCTCTCTCCATGTATTGCTGGAGTCGTCCTTGCAGGATCTTGAGCATTACCTTACTGGCATGAGAAATAAGGGCCACTGTATGGAAGTTTAGGCAGTCTTTCTCATTTCCCTTTTTTGGTATGGGGATATACCAAAAACTACTACTACTACTTTATATGAAAATGGGCTTCATTTCTTATAAGGAAAACAAAATGAAGTTCAACAGTGACAAATGCAAGATACTCCACTTAGGCAGAAAAAAATGAAATGCAAAGATACAGAATGGGGGACAATGCCTGGCTGGAGAGCAGTCCGTGTGAAAAAGATCTTGGAATCCTCCTGAACAACAATGTCATGTGGCAGCAATGATTTTAGCCTGTGTAAATTGGAGTCTAGTGTCGAGATCCAGGGAAGTCATGCCCTCTATTCTGCCTTGGTCAGAGCACATCTGGAATACTGTGTCCAATTCTAGGCACCATAACTGAAGGGAGATGTTGACAAGCTAGAATGTGTCCAGAGGACCGTGACCAAAATAATCAAGGGTCTGAAGAACAAGCCCTATGAGGAGTGGCTTAAAGAGCTGGGCGTGTTTAGTCTTCAGAAGAGAAGGCGAAGAGGAGACATGACGGCCATGTATAAATATGTGAGGGGAAGTCACAGGGAAGAGGCAGCAAGCTTATTTTCTGCTGCCCTAGAGACTAGGACACAGAACAATGGCTTCAAAATACAGGAAAGGAGATTCCACCTGAACATTAGGAAGAACTTCCTGACTGTGAGAGCTGTTCAGCAGTGGAACTCTCTGCCCCAGAGTGTGGTGGAGGCTCCTTCTTTGGAGGCTTTTAACCAGAGGCTGGATGGCCACCTGTCAGGGGTGCTTTGAATGCGATTTTCCTGCTTCTTGGTAGAATGGGTTTGGACTGGATGGCCCACGAGGTCTCTTCCAACTCAATGATTCTATGAATATCTGTTTTGAGTCAGTAGGAAGTGACTTTGAACAACTGCAGAACATGAAGCATGAATGTACCTACAGAACCATACAGTCCAATTGCATTCTAACTCTCATGGCTCTAACTTGTGGAAACTTGGAATATACAGTCTGGAAAATATTTTCAATTCTTCAGTAGAGTTTTAGTCCAGCCTCTAAATCACAACCCAATAGCTCTAGCAGAAAATTCAGAGTACTCCTCCAAACTATACATCCCAGGATTCTGTAGGATGGAGTCATGACATTTAAACTGGTATTGGACTTGTATAAAGGTGTAGCCTTGTGATATTATATCAAGGATGACTCTCAGGAGTCATCAGGAAAAATGTGGAAGATGTGCACAAAACAAATCTCGGGGAAGAGGAAGAAGGACAAGGTTTCCCCATTTGAAACAAAAACCATGGAGTTCAGGAATTGTAAACACTCGGGGCTCAGTATTTCACAGTCTCTTTGCTGTTTCTGCAAAGCAACAGGAAGAAACAAACAAAAGACAGCTGTCCCCAATTGGCACAGGTGGAGATATGAAGGTGAACAGGTGGGCATGCCTATCCACTTTCCATCTAAAAAGCGGGGGGGGGGGGGGGTTGTGAAGCAAGGTCAGGAACGTTAACCCCACTCATCCAAGGCAACATTATCTAAAGCACAGAATCATGGACACAATCCTTAATTTTGGTTGTGGTTTTCCTAAAAGTTTGAACAGATCTGGMGATGCAGCAGGAGTTCCACTCAAGCTCCTTCTACACTGGCATATAAAATTTAGATTATCTGCTTTGAACTGGATTTTCTAGCAGTGTAGACACCGGCCCCTTCTACACTGTCCTTTTATCCCAGGATCTAGTTCCATAGTATCTGTTTATCCCAGATTATAAGGCAATGGAGACTCATATAATCCAGTTCAAAGAAGATAACCTAGGATCACACTTTGGTGTAGAAGGGGCCCCATATAATCAATTTCAAAGAAGAGAATGTGACTTATCTGCTTTAATCTGGATTATATGGCAATGTAGAAGGGGCCTCTCACTGAACACTGAGAAGCCCCTGATGCTATTTAACCTCATCAGACTGAAAGGCGAAACCAAGGTCACAACAACATCTGTTATAGAAATCCAATATGCTGATGATAATGTAGTATGTGCACATTCAGAAGAAGACCTACTAGCCACCCTAAACACCTTTGCAGAAGTATACAAAAAGTTTGGCCTCTCACTGAACACTGAAGCAGAGAATGTGACTTATCTGCTTTGATCTGGGTTATATAGCAATGTAGAAGGGGCCACAGAATGCCTGGACAAGGGCAAGATGATGTTGAAGACAGTCAGCCCTCTGTATCCACACGTTCAGCATCCACAGATAGAAGATATTCCAAAAAATAAACATCCAAAAAGCAAACTTTGATTTTGTCAAGTTATATAAGGAACCCACCATTTTACCGTGCCATTGTATATAATGGTAGTGTATATATTTCAGAAGAAATCCTCCTGAAATCCCAGAATGATTTCTGCCACTCCAAAGGAACAGTGGATATGATTTTCACTGCACAACAGCTCCAAGAAAATGCAGGGAACAAAATCAACCTCTCTACATGGCATTTATTGAGAATACCCTTGAATATTGTCAAAAGTAGCATATGAAATCTCAGGACTTTTAATATTCACAGGTAGGGTGTCTAAGCATCCCTCAGCAACACTAACAGACAAAAAATACCACCTATTTTCCCCAAGCCAATACTTAACAAAAGAGGAAGAGGCCCTTGCAGTGGATATGGCTATAACTTCTAGCAATAACCTGACATGACTGAGCTTTTATACATTTAGCCATTGTAATTCATTGCAAGATGGCATGGTCACCAACCAACAGAAACGTAATTAGGATTGTTATCTGTCATGACTAGTAACCTCAACAGACTAGCTACTCCTACATTAATTTCTCTACTCCCCTTCCCCTTTGTTGGAGAGGTAGTAATCCTATCTTAATGAATGAGCAGCAACACTGAAAGAACACAAGAAAGAACATAACACTACCTCTACATACCAGAATGAATTAAAAAATCTTCGCAATCTTTCATTCCAAGGTAAGTTTTCTACTAATGCATACAACAGCACAACAACAGAGAGGAAACAAACAAAGACATCTAATCACCTCTCAACAAAAGTTTGCCCCAGGCTCTGTCAGACCATTATATGCTAATCAAGGCGGTCAGTTGAAACATTCACACCTAGCTCCAGCAGACAAGAGTCCTTTGTCTCACCCTGGTCATTCCACAGATATATAAACCCGCTTTCCTAGTTCCAACAGACCTCACTACCTCTGAGGATGCTTGCCATAGATGCAGGCGAAACGTCAGGAGAGAATGCCTCTAGACCATGGCCATATAGCCCGAAAAACCTACAACAACCCAGTGATTCCGGCCATGAAAGCCTTCGACAATACAATGCACAGTTGTTTACCTACCAAACAACCTTATTCCAAATGGGAATGAGATTGCCTTCAAAGCACATCATCAGTTCAGAATGCTTTTTAATACATCCTCTTCCTCCCCACAAGTTTTGCATCACATACCAAGATCTGACAAGTCATTTTAGTGGCTGAAATATATATTTTAAAAGTGGTTCTTGTTGCATTTGTACTTTGCATTGCAAGATTTATTTATTTTAACTTAAAGGAATTCCTATTGTCAGAAGTTTCCTAAAATGAATCCCTGAGCCACAAAACGCATTATACCATTCATTACATACATTTTTTCAGACAAGTTTTCCTTCTTTGTAGAAGAAAATAGCATTTCAAGCAACCTTACAATAGTACTCACCTCCCTGACGTGCCGTTTCAAATGCATGTATACACACTGCCCTGTCTTCCGATAATGCCTTTCTACGTGTTCCCTTCCGAATCCAAGGAAAGTGTTCATGCAGACATAAAGGCCTCCTTCAGAATCCTGTGCAGAAACAACACAAAAAGAAGAGTAAAAATATGGACCAAAAATAATAGCAAAACTAGGATGGCACAAAAAGCCTTGTTGTTATAGTACCCAAAGGCAACCCTCTCATGAGTTCTCTTGGTAAGGTATCTCTCAGAGAAGGTTGCCATTGCCCTCTTCTCCGAATGGAATTGTGTGACATGGGGTGCATCTGCATTGTTGAATTAATGCAGTTTGAAATCACTTTAACTGCTACATCCCATTGCTATGGAATCCTGGGAGCTGCAAGTTTACAAGGTCTTTTGCCTTCTCTACTCAAGACTGCTGGTGCCTCAACAAGCTACAAATCCCAGTTTAGATGAACCCTAGGTCTGAATAGAACAAGGCAGACTGAAAAAGCAAAAGGCTCCCCCCCCCCCCCCCCCACATACACACACATACATACCCTCATGCTGCTTCCATATGGATTATGACTTTGTAGAGAAAGTCATCATCCATATCCCTCAAACTCAAAAATCAATTCTAGAAATGGAATTCAGGCCACATCCAGTTTTGATCTTTGTATCTCTATTTCTTTTTCCTGTCTTTTTTGAAAAAAGCACTGTCAGGTCCACTGAAATCCATAGCAAATGCTGGGAAGGAGTGTAATATTAACTTATATCATTCTCATTGCATTGACATATGATTTTAGCCATTTTCTGCCTGGTGTGTGAGAATACCGAAGTTTCTGTACAATATTAAACCTTTATTTGCACTTCAGAAGCTTTGAGCTTTGGGGTTTTAAAAAAAATCTTTTATTACATATATATATATATATACACACACATACTAGACTTGTGAATTCTGGGCAAAACTTGATCCGTTTTGGTGTCCCAGATTTCGAGTGGTTCTTCTTTTTTTTAGTGGTGTGTTTTAAGCTTTGTGACACTATTTTTTGGTTGAGGATGTGAAAAAATATGTATTTCTTATATTCCTTGTTCTTAAAATAGTTTTATTACTTATCATCTGAGTACTAAAAACATAAAAATACAATGAAAGTGGGGGAACAAGTGATCAAAGAAAAGTAGGAAATTTAAAGAGGTATAGAAAAATAGAGAAAGAAAAAAAGGAAAAATGTAATAAAAACAAAAATAAAAATTGTGGCTTCCAATCTTCTTCCTTTTGTTAATTCTTTCATAACAGTTCCTCTGCACACCTCTGCAAAGCTCTTATTATAAGTCTTTTCCTCCATAAATCTGAATCCATCAATTACAAGACTACTCTGGATGATTCTCCTCTTTTAAATAGTTCTCAAGACTTGACCAGTCTGTTTTGAGTCATAATTCTGCTGGTATTCTTTTTAATTAAAAAAGTTAAGTTGTCCATATCCTTTACCTCAGATATCTTATTGAGCCATTCTTCCTTTGTTGGAATAACTTCTGTTTTCCAGTGTTTAACATATATTATTTATTTATTATTTATTTATTGCGGTTGCTTATACCCCGCCCTTCTCACCCGGGGGGACTCAGGGCGGCTTACACACACAAGGCACAATTCGATGCCTGTATTACAAAAACATAATATCAAAAACATAACATCAGTAACAACAGTAATTATAACACTGATAACAATTAACGTAAACAATATTATCGGCAGGAATAGCCCTAAACCCGTAAAAACAATTAAAACAATAAAAAAATACAAACCTCATTGCCGGTCAGTGTTTAACCGACTCATAGTTAGGTTCTACTTTCCACACATTGTTGGTTCTATCATTCTGGTTCCATGTCTAATTGTCAGGGTGCCCAAAGGCCTGGTCCCAGAGCCAGGTCTTTACCTTCCTCCTGAAGGTAAGGAGGGAAGTTGAAGCCGTGATTTCCCCCGGGAGTGAGTTCCACAGATGGGGGGCCACCACTGAGAAGGCCCTGCTCCTCGTCCCCACCAGCCTCACTTGTGATAGCGGTGGGGTCGTGAGCAGGGCCTCCCCAGATGATCTCAGATTCCGAGATGGGACATAGAGGGAGATACGTTCGGACAGATACGCTGGGCCGGAACCGTATAGGGTTTTGTAGGTCAAAACCAGCACTTTGAATTGTGCTCAGAACTGGATCGGCAGCCAGTGGAGCTGACATAACAGGGGGGTGGTGTACTCCCTGTATGACGCTCCGGTGAGTAATCTGGCTGCCGCCCGTTGGACTAATTGAAGTTTCCGAACAGTCTTCAAGGGCAACCCCACGTAGAGGTGCGTTGCAGTAGTCTATACGGGATGTAACAAGAGCGTGGACCACTGTGGCCAGATCAGACTTCCCGAGGTACGGGCGCAACTAGTCACGGTGGGGAAAAAGTAAACCATTTGTCCTTACTTATTTTTGGTGTTTGCTCTTTCGCATACATTCCTAGCAGAGAGTGTTCTAGTTTTATTTTTAAAATTTTCTGAGTTTCATCAGGGATCATTTTCCAATAGGTGGTTGCCTTACTGCAACTCCACCACATATGGTAGAATGAACCAACACATTATTTACATTTCAAACATTTATTGTCACTATTTTCATACATAATTCCCATTTTTTATGTTATATACCACCTATGGATCATTTTCATCCGATTTTCCCTGAGGTCCATAGCACAGGTATATCATAATTTCTATGTCCATATGTGCTCCCATTCTTTAAGATTTATCGGCCTACCAATATTTCTGGCCCATTTAATCATTGTACTCTTATATTCCTTGTTGATGGGAGCAAAATTTGATCCTCAATCCTACCAAAGTTCCCTATCCTTGATTTATGTTTCTTTTTGTCAAGATCTAGCTGTGTTTTGGACTGTACTGTGTTTATATTGTGTGTAACATTCCCGTGACGCATAGAGCAGTTATATATTTACTTTGTTGTACTACAACTCCCACTGTTCATGTTGGCCGGTGCACTTTGAGAAATGTTATTGAACAAAAGTAACTTTTCCCAATCCCTATTAGCAAAGGTTTTCAGGAAGAAGACAAAACATACTATTGGTAACATAGTGTGTGAATCCCATTAAGAGGCAGTATGCTATTGATCCAAGCAAGTAAAATACACTCAGAGCCAAGAATGTCAAATTCATCAGTTTTACGCCTGTTTAGTCATCAGTCCTTCACTGTGTTGAAACATTTAATATTTGAGAAAATGTTATGACCAAAGCAATCAGCTTCAGACTAATTAAATCAAGGAGAAGTCTGGTTAACAAAATGCCAGAAAATGTAATAATATCAGGCAGCGGAAGAAACTGGAACTTTCCCAATATACAGCTATTCACAAGGGACTCAACTTGGACTGTGAAAAGCAGGTTAACAATATGTATGGACATTACAGATCAGCAAACTGCATCGATGCCAAGTCTCACATATATTGCAAATAAAAGTCTCTTTCCAATGTACAGCAAAAGGAAAGGAGGCTGATGAACAGAAGGATCTACATTTTAATGCAGTTTGTTCATACAACCTGAGATCGATGTGAAAAAAAACATTTTGCCCCATTCCTAAGCAGTTCTCAAAAACACAAGGAGTTAAAAATGGCATTGTTGTCCTATAGACAAGGAGAGCGCTAATGGGCTGTCTGAATAAACTCATCTCTGCAGCCACTTCTGAAAAGGACACCAAAACCACATCCTTTGAATTCAATCAAAACAAATCAGAGAACTCAACACTTTCCATAAATACTTGTGTGTGCTTCACATTCAGGCTGTCATTTATCAACCCAGCCCTTGACAGCTATAGCTGACTGAATGCAGAGCCATTTTTATTATTTATATAGAAATTTAACTGTGTCTGCTGTGTTGTTAACTTATTTTTTTCCTTTGAAACATTATAAGAGATGCAGTGGAACTGAAATATGTAAATGGCACATGGACCACAGGGATGGGATGCTCACTATGAACTAGTCTATAATGGCTCAGCCTCCAAGGAAGCAACTAGTCTGTTTTCGGGGAAGACCAAAATAATATTAGTATTATTTTGGACAGAGCCAATTTATGTACAGTAGGGAAGTTGCATAGGAAAGGGAGCATGGGCTCTCATAGGTGCCTCTGAAGTGAGAACAGAAACGGCTTGATGTCTACACGGATACTCGTTTTAATGTATAATGTTTGAAAATTCGAATAAAAATTATTATTAAAAAAAAAAAGAACAGAAACGGCTGCTGCCATGCTTGGAGAGGACACGCAAGCCCTGGTACACCACTTCTACGCCTTGCAGAGCGAATGAGTGGAAGCCTACCACCATTCTGAAGAGTGTCACCGGGTCTACCTCTGGAGTTTTCCAGATTACAACTTCCCCCAATACTGGTAGCTGGTCCACGAGATCGTGGAAGTCTTCACCGGGATCTCCCAGGAGATCATGGGGATCAAGACCCAACTGGAGGGGCCCCACGGGCGGAGGGACCTGCCCCAGCACCTGGCCCGCATCCAGGAGAAGGAGAGTGAGAAGCTGCAGCTCATGGTACAGTTCCAACTGGCCAAGCAGAACACTCAGGACCACCCTGAGGTGGAGACCCATGCTCAAGAGGTCCAGGGGCTGAAACACAAGCTAATTCAAACCATCTAGGCAATCAGCGAAATCTTCCAAGTATGATTCAGAAGAGAGCAGCTGATGGGACATGGGTTGAAGACGGGGATGGGTTTCCAGGTGCCACTTATAACTGGTCTAGACTGGAACTAAACTGGGAGGGGTTCACGTCATCGTCATTCCCCTTTCCTTGGCTGAACGATTCCTTCTGCTTTTCCATCAATAAAAAAGTACAGTACAACCTAGTTTTACTTATCCATATAGTTCTCTTTAGGGATTTTCAAGGTTCTCCATGTGATTCTATGGTGTGCTTCTACCTTGGAGGACCTAGCAAAAGAGAATACCTCTAGGAATGTCCTCCTGAGCAGCAGAAAATAAGATCACTTCAACCTCCTTGTGATGACAGCTGCTTGATTTGTAGGACCTGAGCATGGCACTTGATGACTGGGAATCTTAGAAGTCTCTCACTCATAGGATTGCCATGAATAAGTCACAGTCAAAT